TGGCAATGCCAGGGTTGGAATTTTGATCTTTAAGGTCCCTTCCATCCCAAAGCATTCCATGATTCTGTGATTAAACCACTCGGCTCTCCCACAGTTGATGTGTGAATTCAATTTGATTGTTATTCCTCCCCACATCCTCTCCCTTGCGCTTCCAAACATGTTTCCAGACTGCTGGGTTGTGTTTTATGGGACAAGATTTTGTCCCTGTACCTGTGATGCCTGTGGGGAGCTCAGGGAGGGAATCTGAATTTATCCATCTCAAATTCCTGCTCCCAAACTCTTTATCCAAGGAAACAAAGCTCCCTTTGCCCAAATCCCATCCTCACACAGCCCAGTGGTAGCAGACGAGACACTTGTGCTAATTAATATTTTATGGGCTTGATAGACTTTTTTTTTTTTTTTTTCTTTTTTTTTTTTTGCCTCAGCAGCTGGTCTTAAATAAAGACCAATTTGCAGAAGTGTTAATTAACTCTAATTACAAAGCGCATTGTAGCTGCTCCGAGGATTTCCGTCTGGAGAATGACACGGAGCCGCTCAGCCCCTCGCGCCCAGGGAAACGTCATGGAGGCTTTTCCTAAGGATTCCGTGCGCACCCAAAATTCCAAATAAATATAGAAAAGAGTGAAAAATAGTGAAAATAGGGAGAATATTGAAAGCTGGAGGGGGATTTTGGACAAGGGATGGAGTGACAGGGGGATGGGGAATGGCTTCCCTCTGAGGGGAGGGTTAGATGGGATATTGGGAAGGAATTCCTGGCTGTGAGTGTGGGAAGCCCTGGCACAGGATTCCTGGGTTACCTGACATTTCCTTGCCAGGTTTTTGCAGCAGGAGGAGCTGGAGAAAGAATTTTTACACAGGCAGACGGTGGCAGGACAGAGGGGAATGGTTTGAAACTGAGAGGACATTTCAATTTGACATTGGGAAGGAATTCTTGGCTGTGATGGTGAGGAGGCCCTGGAATGAACTTCCCAGAGAAGCTGTGGCTGCCCCATCCCTGGAAGTGTCCAAGGCCAGACTGGAACAACCTGGGATAGCAGAAGGTGTCCCTGTCCATGGCAGGGATGGAATGGGATGAGCTTTAAGGTCCTTTCCACCCCAAACCTTCTGTGACTCAAGGGGTATCCTCTGATTCACTCCAACACGTTCTGTTCTGACACCACATTAACATGAGCCCCTTAATTAACTTTCCCTCTCCCATTTCCCGGCCTTTCCATGCCCAGCTTTCCCTCACCCATCTCCCCATATTCCAGATCCACAGCGCTTCACCCCGGATCAAGCCCTGCAGCGGCATCGTTAATGAGGAGGAAATCAATTAGGAGCCGTGCCACGCGGGCAATTAGCGCTGTCGCGGCGATGACATGGCGGCGGTGTCACTTCCAGCCTTCTCCTGGCTCACAGCGCTGCCACTCTGGATGAGGATGACAATTCCCACTTTCCTGCCCTGGAAAGACTCCGAGGGTGGGATCTCCTCCGTGCTGGATTTAATTTGCCTGAGTGGGGCTGCGGGGCTTCATTTCCAAGTGGAGCTGTCTCAGTGATTAAAGCTCCTGGGGAGGATGGAAAAGATCATCCAAAGGGATGGTTTTGCATGGCCCTAACCAACATTTGGATGTCCCTTTAAAGCCTACAAATCTATAATTTATACTGGATAATTCATAACAATAGTATTTTATATTGGTGTGGGAGATGATGATGATGATGGGTCATGGAGCAACCTGGGATAGTGGAAGGTTTCCTTGCCCATGGCAAGGGGATTGAACTGGGTGATCTTTAAGGTGCCTTTCGAACCAAACCATTGCATGATTATTTATAATTTTTATTGTTATTATTATCATCATCATCATCATAATCATCATAATCATCATCAAAATCATCATCATCTTCTTCTTCTTCTTCTTATTATTATTATTATTATTTGCACCAGCAGCTTTTATACAAAGGAGCTTGGAGAAACTGCAGCTCCACTCGAGGCTGTGTAGTCACTATAAATTCAGACTTTGAGCTCCTCTCTTTTTGAGCTAATTTTGGGCTGCCAGCCCAAATTCTTCTCTCAGCTCCACAGGGCAGTGACATCCTGGAAAGAAATAAAAGGACATGCAACAATCCAGGCAAAAAATCCAGTTTGAAAGAGGATGGAGGAGAGGTTTTGGTGTGCTGAAGCATGTTTTTCCCTAAATTAATTTCCCAATAAATAGATATATTCAGTGCTGTTAAACAGTCTCTTTAACCACCTCCACAAAAACCCCTTAGAAGCAGAAAAAAAAAGGCCTTTTGCAGCATCAACTCCTTCACACAAAACACCAGCACATTAATAAGCACCAGGCGTGGGGGTTCCCTATTGAGCATTATCCCGGCTCCGCTCATCCCAAATCCGGGATGGGGCAGGTGGGAAGGGTTCCCATTCAGGGAGTGGGTGGCACAGCTCTTAATTAGCTGCTCTGCCAAAAGCAGCCTCCTTTTGTCCATATGCACACGCTGCTTTGCAACTTCCAAAGGGCAATTCAGGAACTGGGAAAGGCCTGGCAAATTAATAATAATGAGCTAATTTCCACGCCATCTGCTAATCGCTCTCCTCAGCAGCGCTTGGCTCCCAGAACAGGAGTTTTTCCCACTCTCCTTCTGTCTACCAACAGGAAATAATGACATCCAAGCCGACTCTTTTGGAAGGGATTCGCTTGGTATTTCGTGCTGCTGCATCAGCACGGAGTCATTGCACAAGCTCTCGCTTCGGTTCCTTGAGGGAAAACTCTCTCCAGGGAAAGGAGGGGTTGGGAAGTGCAGGGTTGATCCCTGTTCCGTCCTCCTTCTCTAAAGTGACTTTTTGTTGTCGCTGTTGTTATTGGGGTGGATTTTTGTCTGGTGTGATCGGGGTGAGCAGAGCGGGAGTGGGGTGCTGGGCTGGGATGAAAAGCAGGGTGCTGCATTTATGGGATGTAGAGATAAATGCCAGCTGCTGATCCTAAGAGGAGCTGACTTGGCTTCCCTGGAAAGGTCAGGGCCATGGGGATGCAGCATGTGGCTGTGCCCTGCTGGAGGATGCAGGATGGGGGAGGAATTATCCAAAGCCCTTCCCAACCCTCTGAGCTGTGATGGTCAGAGAATCATGGAATTGTGGAATTCCAGACTGGATTGGGTTGGAAGGGGCCTTAAAACTCATCTGGTTCCACCTCGACGCCTTCCATTATCCCAGTTTTGTCCAACCTGGCTTTGGACTCTTCCAGAGATGAGGCAGCCACAGCTCCCCTGGGAACCTGTGCCAGGGTTTCCCCAGCCTCACAGGGAACAATTCATTCCCAATTTCTAATCAAAATCTCCTCTCATTCAGTTTAAAACTATTCCCCCTTGTCCAGTCCCCACCTGCCCAAGGAAAAATTCCCTCTTTATATTTTTCAGAAGCTTCCTTTCTCTGTTACAAGTGCACTGAAATGATGCCTGAACACCCCAATGCATGGATCATCATTCCCATTCCCTGAGGCTCCAAAATCACCTTTTCCACATGGAGCATCAGCTCCGAGATCAGAAGTTTCCCCCCTTGGGCTTGAAACTGGTTTTAGGGCTTGAGTGTGACAAAATTCCTGTTGTTCCCTGAATTTCCAGGGTTTTTCTTTCCCTCCTTCCCTTCCCCTCGCAGCTGCTCACTAATAGGAAGCAGCAATAGGATTTTTCCCTCCTCCCTGACTTATTGCCTGCGTGTGTTTGTAGGCTCAGGATATTACTCTGGGGATCTATGGATTGGTTTATTCGGTTTATATGGAATTTGGGAGAGCAGGAAACACATTTCACTCCAATCACCCTGGGAATAGGTCACACAGCTCGTGGAGTCATGAACCTTTCATAACAAATATATGTGGCCAGGTGTGAGGGAAAATGGATTCCATATGTCCCACATGGATCGGGCCAGGAGAAATTTCCTCGAAGCCGTAAATGGGTTGTGTATGGATTTCTCCACATCCATGTGAAATGAGGGATAAGCCAAAATGGATCCTTTCCTGCCAATTTGGTTTGATAGGATGAGTTTTGGATTCTCGTCTCCAAACAGCTCCCAGGCCTCCTGGCTCTCCTGGAGACAAACCCTTGGATTGAAGGATTCCCAGCGGGAGTGGCGCTGCCTTTTCCAAGGGTTTGGGCTGTGCTCTTTATTATCTGCTGGCTGTCATCATGCCAGTAGTCACAAGTGGAAGGGAAGGAGGGTTTGAGCCTCTTGCAGGTTGTTCCAGCACGTAGGAGAAGATCTGGGAGCCAAACCGGGAGCAGCAGGATACGGCTGTCAGAGCTGTGCGGCTCTATCCATGAAAAAGGGTGAAATTCCAACAGCTCTTGTGCTTCCAAGCTCAAATTTCCCCACCAAATATCACCTGTGGCAGCAGAGTGAGAGCAGGGAATGTTCTGCATCCATGTGGGATGAGCTCCTGCCTCCATCCAAACTGGCAGGTTTGGGATGTGGGCAGCGGGGAGCTCCAAATCCCTGTGTCCAGCTCCAAGCAAAGCCTGGATCTATGGAAACAGCATCACAGTGGGCTGGATCATTCCCCACGGATCCCAGGAGCTTCCTGGGCATGGGACATCACATGGAGAGGGAACACAGGCTGCAGAGCTGTCCCCTCTGCGGCACAGCTCAGGGTGGCGCTGAGGACAGAGCCTGGCACTTCCCAGAGTGATCCCAGGAATCTCCTGAGCCGTAAGGTGCCTATTCCAGCACAACCCCCTGGACTGGGGGTGCTCAAAACCTCGTGGAGAATCAAAATCTCCAATATTTAAAATGGAACCCAGGCTGGGTGCAAGTTGCTGAGGGCTGAGATGTTCCTGGGGAATTCAGCCAGGCTCTCCATGAGACAGAGGTGGGAAACAGTGGTTCCCTGTGAATTCCCAAAAAATTAATTTGGGATGGGCCAACAGCACTTTCCATTCTGTGGATGCTGCTGTCTGGAATGGTAGGGGAGAACCCATGGATATAGGAATAACCTCGTGAAAAGATAACTGGGAACACACTGTGGCACTGCTGGATTTATTTAATGTTGTAATGAATAAACATCAGCTTTTCTTTGCACTGGAGAAACTGAGGTGAAGAAAACAGATCTGTAAATAACATCTGAGCAACTGGACATGATGACCTTAAAGGTCCTTTACAACCTAAAGGATTTTAAGGTTCTGTGACTGTAAAATCTTCTCCCCAGCCAGCAGCAGGTCTGAACCGCACCACAGTGATTCTGTTTGTCCGAGGAACTCTGCAAAGCCCAGGGAAGAGAAATCATGGAATTCCAGACTGGTTTGGGTTGGAATGGACCCTAAAGCTCATCTCATTCCACTCCATGCCATGGGTAGGGACACCTTCCACTATCCCAGGTAGCTCCAACCTGGCCTTGGACACTTCAGGGATCCAGGAGCAGCCACAGCTTCTCTGTGCCAGGGCTTCCCTTCCCTCACAGCCAGGAATTCCTTCCTAATCACAAATCTAACCCTGCCCTGCCAGTGTGAATCCACCCCCCTTGCCCTGCCACTCCATGCCCTTGTAAAAACTTTCTTTTACCATTTCCACCCCCCCGGATTAGCTCTGGCAAGTGGCTTTTTGGTGCTTTTCTTTTTCTCTGCCCCATGAGGGGTCTGGATGCAGATCCAGATGTGCTGTGCTCACCTGCAGCCAGTGCTGGGACCCCATGGAGTGATAACATCATTCCCAGTGACCTCCTGAGGAGCAATAAGGGCTTGGAGATTTCCCCTGGGAAAGAAAGAACAATGCCAGAGGAAAAAAATAAAAGTTGAGTATAAAGTGGTTTCAGAAAAAGGTTATTGAGTCACAATTGTACTGAGGGCTCAGGGCAGGGAGGAGGAAGTTTGGGTTCCCCAGGGGCTCTGCTTGTCCAGCCCAGCCCATCCCACTGGAACCTGATGCTGGGAAAAATCGGGATTGGGAGGGACCCCACTTTCAGCATCTGCTGTGTGTACAAACCTCACACTATTTATTTTTGATGTTATTGCATTAATTAATGTAGAATTTCCCTGTTCTCAGCATGATCCGCCCTCCAACAGCGAATTCCAAGTGCTGGCTGTGAAACACTCCCAGCAATTCCAGCAATGCTTCATTCGCCAGGAGCTGCCCAGAGAAGGAATTTAGAATTGGGGAATTGTTTAGATTGGAAAAGACCTCCAAGATTATCAAGTCCAACTTTCTCCCCACCACTAAGCTTGCGTCCCCAAGTGCCACATCCACATGGATTTTAAATAGCCTGGAATTTATGCATAAAATAAAAAACCAGCTGCACTTCCAGGGGCTGAATTCCCCCTGCTTGCCACTAAATAAATTACAGAAAAAGGTGGGAATAACCTGATGGAATTTATCTTGAAGGAGCCAGCAATGGGCACAGAGCCTGAACCAGCCTCAGGCAGGGACTGGGATGCCGGACCAGAGAATCCCAAACTGGTTTGGGTGAGAAGGGATCCTAAAGCTCATCCAGTTCATACCAAACCATGGGCATGGACACCTTGCACTATCCCAGGATGCTCCCACCTGGCTTTGGATGCTCCCAGGGATCCAGGGGCAGCCACAGCTTCTCTGGGAATCCTATTCCAGGGCCTCCTCACCCTCCAAGCTGGGAATTCTTCCCCAATATCCCACCTAAACCCATCCTCCTGCAGCCCTGCTTTTCTTATTTTATTTATTATTTCATTTAAAAGGGAAAACAGTCTCTCTGCTTGTCAGAGCAGCCCATATGATATGAAAATATTCACGATATTTCTGCAAAATGTACTGTTCACCTCAGGCTGCATCTGCAGCTCAGATTCCGACAGCGCCTTTGTCAGCGAGGCTTTCGTTTGGAGTTTTGCAAGGAATTTCCCAAATTTTACCTGCTGGAATAGGGATGTCTTGGATAATTTGTTTTCAGGGGCAGGATCTCCAAGCAGATAAGAAAAATATCTCTGAGGAGGAAACACCAGGACTGAGCCCAGGGAAAGTCACTCCAGGCTCTTTCCCGGCACAGCCAGCTCTTCCCTGATCTCTCCAATTCCAGTCATCCCAGCCAGTTGCAAGAGGGAAATAAACAGATGGGAGAGTTTTTCCACAAAAATGCAAATAGGTTGTAAAAATGTCTGCAAAAATCTAAATACTTGGGGAGAACATGCCAGTTGGGATGAATATTTTGACAAGGAAAAGGGAAAGAAAAAGGGAGAAGTTAAATGATGTCAGAAGGGATTGTTTGGGTTTCCCTGATAAAATCCTGCAGCAAGAGCTAGAGTTTATTTAATTAAGGCTTTGCACCCTATTTAATAATATAAACGTCTACACAGAACTAAATTCACAAGTCAAATTGAAACAGGCTTTAATGCTGCTAAATTAATTTATTTCTTTACCATAAACTGTGTTTTTTGGGGGAAGAGAGGATAGATTTTTCCAGAAAACATGACCATGAAGCTCTGGAGTGTTTTCTCCAGAGAAGGGGAACCTCCAGATATTTAGGTGCTGCTGTGCATATTTCTGTGGCCAGAAATTCCTGCTGGATTTTGCCTAGGGAGGAAACCAAACCGTTTACCTTGCTTGTCTTGCTGTAATTTTTCCAAGTAATTCAATTTTTTCCTTTTTTTATTTTTTTTTGTGTGTTTTTTTAATAATTCTTTACCAAACCCAAATCTTGAAGGCCTTTTCCATCCTAAAGGATTCTATGATTCTGTAAGGGAGGGACCTTTTTGTAGGCCTGGGGAAAGATCCTGTCTTTTCCTGCTGGGAAAGCCTGGCCAAAGTGTGAGGTAATCCCAGATTTGCTGATTTTCAGGATGAGGATTGCCCACATGAGGTGTTTTGGATGCCTGGAAAATCCCCTAAATCCTAAATCTGCTCCCTAAGGAGCAGAACTGCAGGAGGACAGGGAGGGTTCTCAGGCCCAAACTCTGAGCCCAGATTGAGGGCACTGCAAAAAACACATCCAAATGTTCTGACTAAAAACTGACATTTCTTGCTCGATATAGCTGGGACTCCCCTGGCCTGGGCTGCTGTGCCAGTGTTGGACAACCTTTTCCTGAAGGAATTGTCCCAAAATCCGCCCTGAGCTGCCCTGGCCCAGCCTGAGGCCGTTCCCTCTCCTCCTGTCCCTGTTCCCTGCCAGCAGAGCCCGACCCCCCCGCCTGTCCCCTCCTGCCAGGGAATTCCAGAGAGGGAAAAGATCCCTCGGGATCCTCCTTTGCTCCAGCCTCAGCCCCTTCCCAGCTCCCTCAGGAATTCTCCAGCCCCTTCCCAGCTCCCTCAGGAATTCTCCAGCCCCTTCCCAGCTCCCTCAGGAATTCTCCAGATCCTTCCCAGCTTCGGTCCCTTCCCTGGCCATGCTCCAGCCCCTCAGGGTCTCCTTTGCCGTGAGGGGAAAATCAAAATCTGGGAGAAAACGTGAGGGGGAAAAAAAAGTGAGGGGAGTTTGGGAAGGGCTCTGCTGCAGAGCTTTTCGCTTCTGGATCCTCCTTTGCTCCAGCCTCAGCCCTTTCCCAGCTCCCTCAGGAATTCTCCAGCCCCTTCCCAGCTCCCTCAGGAATTCTCCAGCCCCTTCCCAGCTCCCTCAGCTATTCCTGGGGCTTCAACCCCTTTCCCAGCTCTGTTGTTCCTCTCCTGACATGGATCCTCCCATGGATATTTATGATAAAATTCCTTTACTCAGCGGTGAAGGCATCAATTGTGGTCCTGAGGAAGGTGACGATGTCTGGGGCAGCAGGATTTGGTTACAAGGAGTTGGAATCTGTATGGAATCTTCCCTGGAGAACCATCCCAAGCGGCTGCAGGGATGTCAATCCCAACTCCCAACCTCCAGCTGGCACAACTGTATTTTCTGTGTAAAAAAACAACAATTCCCTAATAAAATCACTTTAAGTGAAAGACATTCTGCTGAGGGGGGAAAAAAAGAAAAACAACAAAAAACCAACAGGGAAAAAAAAAAACCCAACCAAACCAAACCCACTCATTCCAGGGGAACAGTCAAAACAATTATTAGCACAAATTTCCAAGTCATTATCTGCCAAGGTGACATGGCATGTCAGGCACAGCCATGTCACAACGTGCCATCCCCTGCTGCAGATAATGGGAGGTGGCAGCCCCTGAGCCGGGCTGGGGACAAACAGGGAGCCCCAGGGGGGTTGATCCCAAGGAATTTCACACTGCAGCTTTTCCTGGTGGCACTGGGAGCTGCCACTTTGGGATCTGTGTGTGTGTGTGTGTAAAACCCGTTTATAAAAAAATCATGAGGGAGAGAAATAAATAAAAGATGGAGTTAGGAAGTGCGGCCGATCGTATCTGAACGGCCAATTTTTTGGTGGTGCAGGCAGCTGGTGGTGTGACCCACATCCCAAAATCCCACCCTTTAGGGGACTTTAGGAAAGGGGAAATCATCAGAAAGAAAGTTTAAGAATTAAACTGGGAAAGATTTTCCAGTGGCAGAATATTGGGAGGACTCAAATCCCTGCTCTGTGCATGGAGCTGCAGCAAAAACGATGCCAAGAGATCCCAATCCGACAGCAGCTCTTGGCACCGGGGCTTTCATTCAGAGCAGGAACAATGAATTTGCATCCTAGGAAACAAATGCGCTCCACATGCCCCGAAACAAATAAATGGAGATATTCCTTTCTTCCACAGCCAGGAATCTTAATCTTGCTGATAAACAAAGCAGAAGGAAAAAAATAAAAAAAATAAAAAAAGTCTCTGAATGTTTTCTGTGTTTTCTTTAGACAGGGACCTGAATGCTGAGGAGAAAATAAAGTGAGCTTTGTGCAAGGAGAGCTGGTGACAAAGGCAGGGCCTTCACTCTGGGGGCTGAGACGGTTTTTTTCCTTCCAGCTTTTGGTTTTCCTGCTGGAAAAGCAGCTGGTGGGACAGGGTGGGATGCCCCCAGCGATGAGGGGAACTTGGAGGTGTCTGCACCCCCAAAATCCACCCAAAAGAACCAGCCCTGTCCCCACCATCCAGCAGAGCACCCAAACCAGCAAGCAGACAATGTTAGGACATCATGTCTGTTGTCATTTTCCTCTCATTCCCACATTTTCCTTGAAGCCAGGAAGAATTTCTCTGCTGGAAGGGTGGCTGGGCTTTGGCACAGGGAGTCTCCATCCCCGAAAGTGCCCAAAAAACGTGTGGATGTGGCACTGCCTGCAGCATCTCAGGAAAAATCCCCTCAGATATCACCAAGATTTTGTTTCCCTTTTTCACTTTTCCTTATGATTCTCCCTATCTCCCCAAGTGAAATTCTTCCTTGTTTTGTTTTTTTTTTTCATAATTCCTCTAGACTGAGCTATTTCAGACCTCATTCAGTGGCTTTCAGCCCTTCTAATTCTTATTTTTGTCGTGTCATTTTGGGCAGGATGCCACCCACCTTCTGCAGAGCTCTGATTTGTAATTACAAGGTCAGAAGTTCATCTTCCTCCAATTGCTCTTCCCTTTGTAATTCCAGCTGAATTATCCAATTTCTTGACCCGGCAAAAGGAAGGTGCCCACCTAATTATGATCCTATTTCACTTCCCCAAGATCCTTTGGCCCTCATTATAAGGAACAACAATTTCTGGTTCTTTTCTCAAGTCTAAAGTCCTTTCTCAAGTCTAAAGTCCTCTCTCAAGTCTAAAGCCCTTCAGCAACTTTTCCCTTCAGGAGAGAGAGGAGGTTAAAACCAAGGGAAATCTGAGCTGTCCCAGCTCAGGGACTACCCAGTGGTTTTTCTTTCCCACCACCATAAAAAGGGAAGACTAAACCCCTTTCTAATGGAATAAACTTGAATTCTCTCCAAGAAAAGCCTCCATCAAGGGGAACAGATTGCTCCCAAGCCCCTGCGCAAAGCCTGGCTGGATTGCGGCAGAGACAGAAATTCCTGGACTGCGGCTCAAGCTTTAATCAGGCAAAAATCCCACTGAACTCGCTGGGAATTTGAAGTCTCAGCTTTGGCCCAGCTCTTGCTGGTGGCTGCAGATCTCTCCTGCCCTGGGCTGTGCTGCTGGAAGCTTTCCCTGCTGCTCTCCCGCCGCAGGATGCGATGCTGCAGTGTGGAATCAGCCGCATTACGATGCTCCACGCCAAATTATTGCCTTATTAATTAAAACACAAACTGTTCTGCTGCTGCTCCTCGTGCAGCTGAAGCAGAGCTTGGATTTTTTTTTTCCCCTCTGCACATCCCAGCTCAGCCTCCTGCTCCAAGGAGCTGGATTTTCTGCCTTGTTTCATCTTTGGATGAAACCGAGTGATGCTTGGTGTCCCCTCACCCCCAGGAGGGACAGACCCACCAGGCTGGGCCAAGGTCACCTGAGCATGGCACTCTCCATCAAGCTGGAACCCACGAAAATAGGAATATTTTCTGTTTGGACAGGTGCAATAAATTAATCTCACATCTGGCTGAGCTCAGGCTGGGGTTCCACCAGGCTGGGTCATCCATCAGCGCTGGAAGTGCAGCATTCCATGGTCAGGAGAGGCAGAAGCTGCCCCAGCCCCCTGCCAGCCCTCCTCCAGCAGCTCATTTCCAGCTCCACGGAGCCAGGAATTCCACCTCCAGGAAGATCCTGATGTGTGGTGGATGGGAAAACCTCGTCTGACCTTGGGCATGGTGGGATGAGGACAGGTGGGATCCTGCTCCAGGCAGGGAATGCCCCAGGATGCTCAGGATGGGAATGTCCCAGGGATAATCGGTGCCTGGAGTTTTCCTCCAAACCATCCTTCCAGCTGGAGGCTCCAGTGTCTGTAATTCCAGCCCAAGCCAAGGTCAGAGCTGCTTTTCAGAAACAGTTTTGGAGCACATTAAATCCCCCAGAGCCTGAAGGAACCAACATCTCCAGGAGAGAGGCAGCTTGGGGGAGGTTTTGCTAAAAACCCAAAAGCACAGCCCCTGATGAAGAGGTCCCACCAGCACCCTCCCTCTGCCTCACTGGAATTTGGCTCCAAAGGCTTCTTCCTCCCTAAAAGCAGGAGAAAAGAGAGGGTTAAAAATGCTCTCCTTGGATTTTCACAGCCACTTTCAGGACTGTGAACAGCTTTGGAAACGTGGAATTGAACATGTGCTTATCATCAGCTGTGACCTCGTGCAAGCCCAGAATAAAAAACCCCCAGTAAAAGTGCCCTGACCTTTAATTCTCCACCAGAGCCTGCAGTGCTGAGTAATTGCTCTCCAAGCCCGAGGTGTTCAGGGAGGTAGGAACCAGATTCCTTCCTCTCTGCAATCATGGCAAGGAAAAAGGAACAAACAAACAAACAGGAAAGCTGCTCCCAGCTGGAGCACGGATCCGGAGGGGGGAATCCAGGAGGTTATTTAAAGCTTGGAGAGGTTCCTTCTTCCAGCCACTCTTGCTGGAGGGGAAGCAAGGCCAGTTATTATTAGCTGGATTGAGCTGGGATATTGCAGGATATCGCCAGGATATTCCCACAGGAGTGGCTGTTCCTTCACTTACAGGGGTGTGAGGAGGCTGGCGGGTGGCTTTGGCTTCTAGTGGGATCCAGACTCAAATCATGCCGTGAAGCAGCTGCTGAAGCTTGGAGGAACATCACCAATCAAAACAAAACATCTCATCTGGTCACTCATCGGAGGTTTTGATCCCTAAAAGAAGCCTTTTGTGCCCATTTATTTCAATGATATTGTTAATATGGGCTTCTCAGTGGTCTCTTGCTTAATTCTGCTGCTCACACAGCATTAAATGAAGGGATGGGTCCCCAAAGTGCTGAAAAATCAGCACAGTGATAGAATTGTTCCAAAGGTCTCATCTTCTTACCCCTCCCTGCCTTCTTCCCATGGGGTCTCCCAAATCCTTATGCTGGACCAGAGCAGCGCATGGAATTGTGGATGGTGCCTGGAGAAGGGAAGGATCCAGGGAGAGCTGGGAATGTTCCCCTGGAGAAGGGAAGGACCCAGGGAGAGCTGGGAATGTTCCCCTGGAGAAGGGAAGGATCCAGGGAGAGCTGGGAATGTTCCCCTGGAGAAGGGAAGGATCCAGGGAGAGCTCCGAGCCCCTTGCAGGGCCTGAGGGGCTCCAGGAGAGCTGGAGAGGGACTGGGGACAAGGGATGGAGGGACAGGAGCCAGGGAATGGCTCCCAGTGCCAGAGGGCAGGGATGGATGGGATATTGGGAATTGGGAATTCCTGGCTGGGAGGGAGGTGAGGGGCTGGAATGGAATTCCCAGAGCAGCTGTGGCTGCCCCTGGATCTCTGGAAGTGTCCCAGGCCAGGCTGGAGCAGTCTGGGATAGCAGAAGCTGTCCCTACCTGTGGCAAAAGAGATGGAATGAGATGAACTTTAAGGATTTTTCCAACCCAAACCATTCCAAGATTCCATGAAGTGCCCAGAGCCGAATCCCAGTCCCCAACCAACTCCATTCCCTCCACAGGGGTGGAAAGGCCCATTTGGGTTTGGAGAAGCAATAATTCCTGCTAAAATCCAGCAGGGATGAGCCACCTCCACCCTGTCCTGGAGGAGGCTGTCAGATCCCCCCTGGAGCTCCCCACATCACACTTCCCTGTGGGATTCTGTTGTCAGGTCTGTGCAAACATTCCCAGAAAGGTGTCAGAGGCTCCTGGCTGTGCCCAGGAGGAGATCCCAGTGCCAACCTGCTGTGGGATGCAGGACATGGATCTGCCAGAGGATGGGAAGCTGCCCATGGATGGGATTGTGCCGTGCTCCCCGTGGTGAGGGAGTCAGTGACTGGATCAGGGAACAACTCTCTCTGGAAGAGACAGATAATTTTCAGAGAGTTTTTTTTTTTCCCTTTCAATAAAAAGCCATCAATATTTCACAGGCCTGCAGGAAAAAGCAGGATGCTTGAATAGTTCCTGCCCAGGGAACACGGCATGAAATCTTGACACCACGAGAGCTATTTTTACATCTTTCTTTTTTCCTTTTCATGTTGCATAAATGGTGACTGATT